CAAGACTTACTAATTTGATAATACATCAAAATTTAAGAATTCAATGATATTATTATGTTTTAAAATATTTTTAGCTTTCAATACCTGTAAAAAAAGTTTAAACAATATTTTTAAATTAAAAAAATAATAGTAAGCAGTTTTTTAAAGAAAATTTTTAAGTTTAAAATGACAAAAGAATTTTAAATCAAAGTAAAGTGAATTTTTATATTCAGATTATAAAAACAGCATGTCGAATAAAAATAATGTAAATTAATTTGAGAAATTTGACATGTCGATGGAAAATACTGTTAATATTTGAATGTAAATTGTTAACAGAATATTCTCTTAAGATGATATGATTAAATTTATAACAAACTGAAAAGTTTTTAAAGAAAAAATTTTATCAATACTCTAATTATAATAAAATCATATACTAAAGGATTTTAATCAATCAATAAAACATGAAGCTGACGGAAGTGAAAGTAAAAATTATAAAGAGGAACGGGGACGAAACTAAAGAGGAATTGGAAACCGTAATAGCTAACATATATAATTATAGAATGTGGTTTTATGATAATTAAAACACAACTAGTTTTTAATAAATTTTTTAAAAAGCCTTTATTATTTTTAATTTTATATGATTAATTTGAATTTATAAGTATAATAACATGCATCACATTTAAAAAAAGTGTTTTAAATATACTATAAAATAAATTTAGAGTAAATAAAATATATGTTGAGAAAATTTTTTAAATTTTACAAATAATGAAAGAGAGAGAAAGAGTAAAAAAAAATATTTGAAAAACCTTTTTATAAAAACTGTTAAAAAATTCATACTCTACTGTATATTGATCTAATTAATTTAAATAGAAAAATTAATTACGAGTCATTTTATTAATATCATACCAAAACTGTAATAATATTTATAGAGTGTTTTGTTAAATTTATTTATTTTGAGGAATTTATTTAGTTAAAAAAAATTTGTTTTTTAATGAACCGCTTAGAAAAATTAAAAATATAGTTGGAAATTTATATTTCCCCATTGAAAGTAAAAAATTCGATCTTCTTATAAAAACTATAAAGATTATTGAATATATCTATTGATTTATTTAATAGTAAATTTCATGTTATTGAAAAGAAATTTAACAATATTAAAAACATGAAATCTATTTTATTTGAAATAAAAATAGAAGTGGTTATTATTGCTTTTAATTTGAATAACTTTATAAAAATTGAGAACAATGATCAATTTCTAATAAGAAAAGTAGATGAACTTTTATAAAATAGCAAATTAATTTTAAAAAATTAAATTACTTAAATAATAAAAAATTTTTATTTAATTTGTCTTGTTTTGCTCCAGAATCTGTTTTAAAAAGCCTTGTATTTATTTTTATTAAAATGTTTTTTGTAAATCATAATTTAATTTTCCTTTTATAGTTTTTAAAAAGAATGTTTTAAATATGTTTTAATAAACAATATTACCAAATAATATTAATTTGAATTGATTAATTACACAGACTAGTGTGTTATTGTTAACTTAATCAACTATATTTATATAAATTAAAAAAATTTTTGATAAATTTGAAAAAAATACAAAAGTTGACATTAAAGGGCAATTTTTCTAAACTCATTTAAAATTTTGATATATAAATAACAAATACATCTTTAAAAAACTATATTTTACATTACTCTAGTTATTGTGTGAAAATTTTTAAAAAAAATATAAAATGATATTGTTAGTATCTGAAACAAACGATATTACTGTTTTAGAAAAATTTATAAATGAAAATTAAAGTAAATAAATGACAGTTTTATGAAAGATTTTAGTTATAGAAACAATAAAGATTTTAAGGGAAAAGGAGTAGCAGATATAAATAAAAGTTTTTGATTTTTATATAAAGTTGGTTAAAACAATAATTAAAAATTATTTTAACAAAAATTTCTAAAAATTAAAATGACATATTTTGATTTATTAGTAATTATTTAAAAAAAATTAATTATCCCTTTAAATGATTTGGTATTTATTATTTTTT